GAGATTGTATATTTGAGGATGACTTAAATGAATTAATTTGTACAAGTTATACTGACAACATACATAGACATTTCGGTAGCTTACTCATCAGAACTTCACAGTTAAGCGTGCTTGACCTAGAGTAGTACTGGGATAGGTGACCTTCTGGGAAGTCTCCCTGAAATTGCGCAAGTCCAAATAAAACACGCTAAACAGTGAAATATTGTGAAATAGAACCCTTGAGAGGCCAAATATGAGAGTTGTTACATTAATAAATTTATTAAAATTAAAAAAAAATTATAATTTCTGACGGAATTTTCCGTCAGAAATTTTGACAGCAATTTTCGACGGATTTTTCCGTCAGAAATTTTTGACGAATTTTTCCGTCGGAAATTTTTGACGGAATTTTTCGACGGAATTTTTTGTCAGAAAATTCCGTCGAAAAAATTATTTCTAACGGATTTTTTTTTCCAACGCCACTTTTTCCGACGGATTGAAATCCGTCGGAAAAAGCAAAATCCATCGGAAATTTACCTATTTCCATCGGAAATCAACATTTTTCTTGTAGTGCCTTTGCTCAAAGTGGAAATAGTCGCATTCTCCTTCAACAAAAGAACGGAAGGAGTAGGAGAAACTGTCGAAGCCGCGGGAGTCGCCGTAGACGCGGACGCAACGAAAGTTGCCATAGGGACGAGACGAAGGTGAAGAATTCGAAGGTAAAAAATGAAATGAGTGCGAAGAAACAGTAGAAAGTACTCAGAAGGGCAAGGTGAAAGGTTATATGAAAGAGAAAAATGGGCCAAAGCGCAGTAAAAGCTCGTTGTGAAATTCAAAAAAAAGGGGAATTCAAATTTTTTGGTAACTGAAAATATTCACTAACGGACGAAATTTGAAATTGCGTCAGCATATCCCAGGGAAGCGAAATCAGTGCTGCCAAAATTATTGCAGCAGGTACGAAAAGGAGAAATCTGGAATGATGTCAGGGGCATTTAATTCTCGTGAAGAGCACGTAGCTCTAGGGTCTTATCAGAGAAAGAAAATTGAGGCATTGGAAAACATTCTTTCTCAGTTACCTCGAAACAAATGTTTTCCAGGGGGCATTTGTTAGTACCAAAAAATGAATTCGAAGACACTTGAAATACAGGGGTGCTCGAAATCTTAGGTGATCTGAAAATGGCAAAGAAGTTTCTGAAGAAGGAATACGAAACCTGAAGAGAATCAAGAGATACGCGAAGACATTTTTCGTGAAACTCTCGAAATCCTCGAACTAGGTAGGATGATGCTCATGAGAAAGGCTCACAGCCTCACAACCTCTCAAAGTACAAGAAAAATCAGGAAACATTCAAGTATAGTTTTAGTTGGTTACTCGAAATCCCAAGGATCCGGACATACACGAGCATACTCCGCAACCTCTCAGAGTGAAGAACTTAAAGGAGACATGATTTAGGAGCGGTTGAAGTAAATCTTGGGATAAGTGTCAAAGACTGCAAAAATGGTTTGGGGAAGTTAATGAGCGGTTCCAAGAGTTATCCAAATACGTGCCCAGGAATGAGCCACGATGTGGAAGTTTAGAGCGGTTATGCACTTTCGGGGCACGTCAGAAACAGTTACCTTTCCCAAATCTTCGTCTATAAATTAAACGAGCCATGCTCGTAGCAAAGCATCAAAAATCACACACCGAAAATACCTCACACGCACTCCTCAGCCTGCGCATAAGGTACACCGTGCATACGAGACAGCTTTGGGTACAATTTCTCGACCACCTTTCTTTTTCTTTTTTAGCGTAGCGTAGCATAGCGTAGCGTAGCATAGTCTAGTGTAGTGTAGTCATCTGAACATGTTTCGTTATCCTTACGAATTGTAATTCTGTTACCATTTAATGAAGGATATGATTTCTGCAGTCAATATACATGTCATCTATTCAATTCACGTTAATTCTTACATGGATGAAATTGATTGTATAATTAGCATAGATCTTCTGACGTGCTCAAACAACGAGCATAGATCTTCTGACGTGCTGAAACAACACCCTAATGAACTCTATTTGTTGCTTGTACGATTTTATTTTTTCACTGAAAGTCTTCGATTCTGTCACGTCACGAACACGCATAAATTGAAATCGTGCTAGTTCGAATAAAAAGAACCTACGAACGAAATCCTCCACAAACAATATTATATATTTAAAATATAAATAAATCTATTGTATATTTATAATAAATAAAATTTGAAATATAAATCATAGTGTTCACAATTAAGCTAACATTTTCTTTACAAATTAATCCGTATTATAATTGTTCTGATGAAGAGTGGTTCACTGCTCATTTTCTATTAGCTAATTTACACTGACATTATTAATTCATGTTTTAGTTTAAATAACTTTATTGGTTCATTATCGAAAAGTTTTTCTCGTTAAACATAGAGATAATTTCTCTCGAAAATTTAATAGAGACTAAATAAGTGAATATCTGCTCCCAAAAAAATACTATTAGAATTTTTCTTATTATAGACGACTTTTAATGCGAATTGTGCATAAAATTTTGCCAGAAATGTTGTTCCTACAAATTTTTTCTGCGAAATTTTAGACTAATATCTTCGTGGATAATATGTTTTTGCAAATTTTAAAATTCACAAGAAGCAAAAAAAAATTGTAGGAAAGTTTCTTGTGAAAAAAATTCACAGGAAAGTTTCCTGTAAAATTTCTTGCGAATTTTTTTGCAAGAAATTCTAAAGGAAAATTTCTTAAGAAAAAAAAAATCAAAGATTCGGAGGTAATTTTTGTACAATTTATATTAATAATTCTTCAACTTTTAAATGCTTATAATAATTCATCCGAAATATTAAGAAATTTGTTTCCACGCCTCTAACATGCGATAAATAACCTTCTAAACTCTTAGATTGTAAATTATAGGTCTAACACTCAACCATTCAAAATCAACTTGTAAGGTGAATGTTGCTCTAACTTATATACTCTTTAATTGTTTTATTTTTAATCTATGTGGGACTTGAGGAAAATCTTTTAATTCTTAAACTTATATATATATATATATATATATATATTATTTATTTATTTATTTTGCAGACTAAAATTGATTGAAAAATCTGCAAGAAAAGTTACCTGCAAAATTTTCTACCATTTAGTAAATATTACTTGCGAATTTATTTTTACAAGAAAAATCTCAAGAAAGAAGATAAAATTCTTACAACATTTTCTACAAATTTTTACCATGAAAAAAATTTATATGATCATTAAAATTGTAGCAAAATTTGCAAAAAAAAAAAATTGTAGATTATTTTTCATAAAAAAAATTGTAAGAAATTTCTGTAAATTATTTTTCATAAATAAATTTGAAATTTTTTAAAAAATTATTATTATAAGAAAATTTACCAAAAAAAAAATCCGCAAATATTTTTTTATAGAAAAATTTACAAAAAAAAAATGAAACTTTTGTAATAGTGAAATAACTAGATACATTTATGAAAAAAAAAAGTATTTGGTTACATTCTACAAAATGATTATTAGTTATTCAAAATAATAGGTACATTTAAAAAATTATACTTATAATCATTACATTGTAAAAAAAAATGTTTCCCAACACTCTTTTCTCTATGTAAATATAACCGTGAATTGTCCTCTCCATTGTGACTTTTAAAATTTTTAATCCATGTATTATTAAATTTAGCAGAAAAAAAAATATATTAATAAATCACTTACTATTATTTATTTTTATTTTTTAAAACAAAATATATAAAAAAAAAATACTCTTTTTTTTTTTTCTATTGACATAATGTATGTGGAGAGAGATAAAATAAAACTATTCTATCTAGCTACATTATCATAAAAAATCCTAAACTCTAAACCCTATATATTATCATATCTAGCTATTTCCTAGTCACTCCACTATTAAAATAATAAAAAATAATAATGAACTAACAAGATAAAATACGAGAGAAAATAAAATTGTCATATCTTATTGACAACTTGGTACAACAAATAATAAATTATAACAAGAAAAGATAATTACTCTATCTTTTTCTGACTGCCAAACAAGCTATAAAATTTTGTGATATGAACATGAGAATTATGAGGTTTGCAAAAGTTTTAAAAAAAATTAAGGTTTTCAGTTTTAGTAGCGTTGATTTGAAAATACGCACTAGAGAAAAGTCAATCATGATCATTTCAACAAATGATAAAAGTTAAAATTAAAAAGAAATTGTGAGAGATTTTAAAAGTAATTATCTATTCATTTAATAACTTTTAAGAAGTTTTAAAAGTCTAAATTTATTTTTCTTCTCTTGTTCAAACACTTCTTTTATAGATGGGCCTTTTAAACACTTGATTTGAACATCACATTTTTATATAAGCCTTTTTAAACGCACCCTAAAACGTAAAACATCACATTTTTGCAATTGCACGTGGAACAGTCCAAATCCGAAGGTTGCAAGTTTTTCATACTAAACTAATAATTTTTTTTAATAAAAAACAATTATCTCCCGTAAAAGATACATATAATCTATAAAAATGAAATAATCCAACTGTGAAATTCTTCTGCAGTTATTTTTAAAATGCAAAGGATCGGAACCCGTTGACAAGATGGTTTAAACCAAACAGAGTTCCCAAAACTATTTAAAACAACAAAACAGTAACAATAGCGTTAGATGTTTATCAACTTCTCAATATTTACAAACAATTAATTACATGTAAAATGCATTTGAATCTAATCGAGTTCTCAACCCACACAAAAAACAGTATTTAATAAATAATAAATAATGTTTAAAGTGTGATAAAATGAGATTAAAAAAATAGTAATGTCACTATAAAACAGCCTTTTCAAAGATGTTTGTGACAAATAAGGAACTAACTACTATATGACTGTAGTCACTAGCTGTTAATTATACGTAATCGGCCCTTGATCTGCATTTGTACTATATAGTATAATTGTATTGACTGACTAATCAAAAAAATATTGACTGCATAAACTTTTTTCTCCCGAATGCTATGTTACAACATACAATTAATCAGCTAAGCTTAAAAAGTGATAGAATTATGAAGAGAAACATCTTAAAAAAATACAGAGCAACCTCCCTTTTCTATCATTAGAAAAGTATAATGCTCTGAGAAGCTAAACAAACATTTTTATATATCCTATCTAGTTTATGCTGCCGCATATAATAACATTATTTACCAGACTACTCGGGTATGAAATTTGGTATGTGAAAGCGACCCATGCCTTTATGGTTTAATAAATTATTCCAAATCTCTTATCTAAAAATATGTCGCAAAATACAAGACCACATACAGTTTCTATTTCAATATAGTGTATCTTTGTGTACAATGGCAATGCTGAGGTTTGATCTTATCACCTCATGCAAACCACCCAAGCTTTCAACTATTCCACTCCTGATGGCTCATAGCTATTACAGTTTAACCCAACGGAGATGATTACTCAGCTTTATCATTTACAATCAGTAATTTTAATAACAACAATATGTATCGAGTCACGTTAAGAAAAGTATTACCAGTGTACAACGTTCCTTGTCAGCTTGCAACAATTTTCCTATTCCAAGATAAGTAGGTCGTGTCCCCATAAGGTCTGTCGCAAAACCAAAAGAGAAGCATAACATGTAAACAGCACCAGTTCAAATTCCAAAAGATGTATGGGAGAATCAATTTACCATCATTGGGAATTCCTTATTTGGTATGATATACTCATTTTTATATTTTTTCTGCTATGTAAGAACTTTTAACATTTTGAGTTTCTTATATTTTGGACGTTACACTAAATAGTATAAACATTCATTCACATAAATTGAAAAGGCCTCACGCTCCTGCCCCACCAAAAAAAAAAAGTCTTGATCCACCATCAATATATTGAAGCAGTGAATAACACCATCGGTATAAAAACATGCTAACTTTTAGTCTTTTAGCACAACTCAAACTATGATTACTATTATGATGTGATAATTTATAGTTAATTGATAGTATACACTTTTTTTAACAGAAAGTAGATTAATTTTAAACTCAATAAAAGCTCTTAATAACAACTTAGAAATGGAAAGGCAACAGGAAAAAACAAAAACTGAAAGGCTATCATGCAGTGGTAAGTGTTAGACAAGCACAAAATTAGCCTGCATGATAAAGTGGTCTTATATGCACAAAATAATAAAAAAAGAAATAGAAAATTAGGATTTAGAACACTGAATTACCTAGGATTTTTAACATGAAGCAACAGGAAGACGATGGAGATCAATATACAAAAGGAACCAACAAATAAATTGGCGACTCCAAGGAAGTCATTTTTTCCACCCAGCCAGCTTGATGTTGACAGAACAAGCTTCTTTTTTCCACCAAAACTGTAAGTGTTATAGTTATTCTTTAGGTGGACTACTATAACATCATCTGCATCCAAATCCTCTTCAATTTTACCATATAACTTTCGGAAGCTAGGAAGAGCAGCAGTCCGCATCCAAACTATGAGATCTTCTTGATCACTAAGCTGAAATATTGGAATCAAAAATGGATAACAAGAAGCAAAATAGCATAGTAGGATGCATTAGAATCAGCACACAAGAAAAAATATCAATAAAATCAGTACATAAAGAAAAATTTAATGAGGTAATGAATAGATACAAGGGACATTTATTCTCCCACCCACCCACATCCAAACACCAAATTTGAACACATCAGTTTGACCTACCATATGCTACTGAATATTAATATTTCACTTGTACATACATCCTCTATTTGTGCAACTGATTTCAAGCCAAATGGACAAAAGGCAGCATCTGGGGGGATAAAGAAAGAAAAAACAAATATGGTCGAAGCCACTTAAATGCTACTAAATATTAATTATCATATATTATATATTTTGTTAGGCCTTTAACCCATGTTTATAAGAGGAGGGTTAAAAAGAAAGGAGATGGACGGGGAGCAAATGGGCCAAGCAAGGAAATGTAAAATAGAAGGTGTGATATGCATATCAGAATGTGCATGTGGCAAGAGGGCATTGGAGTGGAATATATAGTAGAGGACATGTTATAGGATAGAAGTGTATCATAGGGGGAGGAATGGGGGAATTAGAAGGGTGAGGAATTGGTTAGGCATTTGCCTAGGGGACAGAGGTTAAAAGATACCCATTATCAATAGTTAGTAGATAACAGGGTTATTATTGTGCTGACCAAGAAACAGGGTTATTATTGTCATGTATAATGCTGCTAAATTTTAACTTTACCTTGCAGCACATTACCTTTACCTTGCAGCTCTGGTTATATTTTTTCTACATTGATATTCCCGTTTTCCTTATTTCTTTCTCTAACTTGAGTTATACTGCTCTATTGTAAAGGAGTCGATCTCTTAGAATTTCAACTATTTCCTATAATATATTACCGGTTTCTATCATATTTTTATTCACACATTAACCAATAATCCAAGGGTGATTGGGTAAAGGTAAAGGTTGTTGCCATTTTCCCTACTGATCCTAATTGCAGAATCAACTTCCACATTGGTAGTAAGGAAGCTTTTACATCTATTCCTCCCGGAACCACACAATGGTGAGCTCTTGGTCTCTTAGGGCATTCAACCACCCTTCGATATTGATATTTTACTAAAAGTGGTGAAAATTGGGGATAAAATTATACAAAGAAGTTTCATTTAAGCTTCTTGGATCCATCTTACAAGTAGCATGGAGTTTGATTGTGATATCTAACATAACATTCAAACCAAGAGGATGAAATGGAGAAATTCAATATTTGTGTGCGATCATTATCATGAAGTGTCTATTGAACTCAAAAGTAAAATCATACTATAAACAGTGATTCTCTGAGGCAAAATGCCCACAACAGGGAGAAACAAGTATTGCAGTGATGAGAATGCTAATGTAGATGCCTGGACATACAAGAAAACTCAATATTATATCCAAGAGAAAGGTTGAATAGATGAAAAATAGCCTAGAAAGAAAAGTGGATCAAATGGAAGAAAATCCAACAAATGAGTAGAAGACCTAAGAAAATATTCAGAGAGGCTGAAAAACAAGACCTTACTCAGCTGTTTATCGAAATTTTGATCTTTGATAAGCCCAATACCCATGTAACCAACTTCACATGTGAGATAAGATTTGGTTGCTGTATTATTGATAATCTACTTTTACATACATATACATCCTTTGATGGTGAAGCTGATTTTAAGCTCCCCCAAAAGTTGAAAATTAGCAGCAGTATACATGACAATAATAACCCTTTTCTATTTTTTGGTCAGCACAATAATAACCCTGTTATCTACTAACTATTGATAATGGGTATCTTTTAACCATCAGGGAGTTTTGTCGAATACAAGAATATAGGTCACTAAAAGATATTTCAAATCCAAATAAAGGATGACAATATTAAAAGTATACTCTCTCATCCAGTCCCCTAATAGTGTGTTTGGATGAAAAATTTTTATAGAGTAAAGTAATTCATTTATTTGAAGAATTTCAAATGGTTTGAGATTAAATGTTTTGTTTGGATGGAGACTTTAAAGAGAATTTGAAATTCAAGCATTTGTAAGATCTTTAAAATTGTAGAATTTCAAATCTCCCAAAAAAGTAAGAATTCGAAATTCTTTATATTTTTTCTCTTTTATCTCACCTATATATCTTTTATCTTTCTATCCTCTCTCTCTCTCCCCTATATATTATCTTCCATTTTGCCTCTCTCTCCCTTCTCTCCTTCTCTCTCCTCTCTCCCTCCCTTCTGTCCCTTCTCTACCCTCTCTTTCTCTCTCTGTTTTCTCTATTTTCTTTCCCTTTTTTTCCCTCTAACTTTTATTTCTTTTCTTTATCCTATCTCTCTCTTTTCTCTCTTATCTCTCCCCTCTTTCTCATCCCTCGTTACCTTCACTCCTTTTTCTTCTCTCTTTGTTCTCCTACCTCCCTCTCCTCTTTCAAAGTTGACATAAAAAATATCAATATTTTTTTAATTATTAAATATTCAAAATTATTTTTAAATTATTAAATATTATCTAATATTAATTTTTTAAATTATAAAATATTTAAAAATTGATTAATGTTTTTTAATATAAATTTTAATCTTAAAATTGCAATATATATATATATATATATATATTCAAATTTTCAAAGTCAATTTTATCTATAGTGAAAATTAAATTGCCCTATCCAAATTAAGAATTTAAAATTTAAGAAATATGAATTGAATTATTCAAAAAAATAATTTAATGAATAATGAAAATTGAAATCAAAGTAATTGAAATTTCAATAATTTCAAATTCCTTAAATTTCTAAAATTCTTCATCCAAACAAACCCAACAAAAATTGATCACAAGAAGAAATGATGAAAATAGGAAAAATACTCAATATGCAATTCAAAAGCTTCAAACTTACAGGAATACTTGGATCCAGCTTTCCACCCCCAATCAAAGTCCCATTCTGAAAATTAAATGGGTAAACATGTTTTCCATATTTCTGATCGCGATCACTCTTCCATGCAATATTCTTCCTATTGACCTTCAATTCTGTTGGCCCGCGACTGAATGTATATGTATCATTGAACAAACTCCATGCTATCAACCCACAAGGTACAACTGGAAGATCATGAGAGGACTCTAAAGGTTTACAAGAACTGGTATCATTGTATCCAAGTCCATGCAAGAGCTGCTGGTCACTTCTACTTTTGACATACCTGAATAAATTTTGAAGATTTGAATGAACAATGGAGATAAAATCACATGATTGAAAATAAATTTTGCAATATTTATGATTTTGGGGAAAAGGAATGAAGCAAAAATAAAGAAAAACATTTTACTGCATAGACTCTAACTTAAAGAGACCTTTTGGACCTGAAGTTCTTTTGGATAGAGTACAATAGTACATTACATTAAAATTCAAAGACAAATCAATAGCATAACAATAATTTTAAAAAATTTAGCAATGGGTGGATTGACTGTTGTTTCACATAATTAATGAATAACCAAGATAATAGAGTAAAAAAACACCTTAAACTTTGTTCTTTGGCAAGTAGGCATCTCCAACTTTTACTACATCCCAGTTAATCCTTAAACTCCAATTAATGTTACAAAGGTCCTTTTGTTAAGTGAGAGTTAACCAGCAGAGAAAAAAGTGTTAACCATTGATTTTTTGCATATTAATTTTTTTGCATTTCTTAATTTAAAAAATAAAATTAAAAAATAGGCAGAACAGAACATATTTGTCATCCTGAAAAGAAGAACATCAAAATCCAAGTTCTGTTGAGAAAATTGAATAAAAGTCGTATAAATAAATACCATCCAGTTACTGGTGATATGTTCAATCAGATGCAGAACTTCAACAGGCCTCACAGCACAACTTTATGACTTATCTTGTTGTACAAGACACAAAAATTGGTCTCTGAATCATGAAATCAACAAGCTCAGTTGCTTGGATCGTGATGCTTTTGTTTTCAGAACATAGAACATGTTACTTTCTGCCTCTATTTTTTTTTTTTTCATTTAAGAATTTAAAAAAAATAAGAATATATGAATCTTTTGGGGAAAAAAGTTTCTAGGACCAATTGAATCAAAAGTAAAAGTTGAAGGTGCCTATCTGCATAAGGCATAATTATGCATTTTTTCCTATAGCTATTAGAGATAGAAAATTAAATGAGGGAATAATTCCAGAATTTCTTTGGAGAAATGTCAATAAATCAAATACAACCTAAGAAAAAAGTGAAAATAGAGCAAATAGATTTAAAGGAAGCAAGAAGACCAATTTGGCTCATAACAGGGCATGCATTCAGATTTGCTCAATTGAATATACTCAGTTGCTCAAAGAAGCACTACCTTGAAATAAATTATTTCCAACAATGACAGTAAATGATACAAAAATAGCCAGTGTATTGACAAAACACAAACAAATAGATAAAGATAAATGTGAAAGAGAAAGTATAAATAATAAAAGCTGAAGTTAAGCAAAGATTTTGTGTCCTTGACAAAATAATACTTATTTTAAAGACTTCATCGTTGAATTTGAAAAGAAGAAAAAAGAAACCTTACCGTCGGTGGTTCTGGTAATAGTTATCAAGCTGATAATAGATATATATTGGTGCTCTCATTGGCTTAAGTACCTAAGAAAAATTTAAACACAATTAAGAGACAGTAAAGGATCAACTTTATCAGTAATTCTTTTGGCAAAAATATTAGCCTTTTCGTTCCCAGCCTAATATTCTTTATTACAATTAAAAATGAGAGGGAAAATCATGCAAAGAATGTTATGAAAGTCAAGAAACAGCAGAAAAGCATGTAAGAAAATATCATATAATACAATTTCCTTTTGAGCAATTACAAAACCCATCACCATCTATTACCAAATGCGATTTCCATGATTCATAATATCAACATCAGTACATATAATTTTCTCTTGGAAGGGTGAAAGATTCTCCATGGATTGTATTAAGAAGATATGGAATAACTAGTAAATTGAACTATCACCTTTAAGAATCGTGAACAATTTTTGGTTAATGAGTCATCTTTGATATATGCGACCTTGTTATTTCTGAATTCTTCAGGTACACAATCAATGTCATACCTATCCACAATTTCAACAACCTACAAATCCATAGGTCAAATAAATATTGTAGAAAGCATGAAGATTTACAATTGAGAAAGGAAAAATATTAAGTGTATAATATCAAGGAAGAAGTAATTATTTGTACACTAATTGAGGCACGAAGTGTGATAAATCCAACAGGAATGAAAATGAAACCCATCAATAGAAATGTAGTAATGACCTGCATAGAAATTGATTGAGATTTAGCATGCATTTCATAGAATAAGGCATCATGAAATATTCAAGTATTGTCAAAGAACTAACTGTTGCAGGCGTAAGGACAGGTTTACATGCTGGAAGGTTCTGCTGTGTAAACTGATAGAGTGCTGCAAAATCACCACAATGGCACTCAGCACAAATTTCATTAAGAAATGAAAAGGAAAAACATGAGGAATAAAAGAGTTCAATACAAAGAGACTTGTCTAAAGAAAAACATAAGAAATAAAATTTCAATATATCGGAGAATTCTGACCTATTTCCTTCCTAGTCGAAGGCTATACATCATAACAATTTCTATTTCTTCCCAATACAAAGTAAATTTTAAAGCAGAAGGAAAATTGTATAAAATGCATTGAAACAGGACATGTCAACAAAAGTTGATTGTCCAATTCTTTATGTATCAAGTCACCACAAGTTAGGATGTAGCATGTGCGGAAAAACAATAAATGTGATATTTTTGTAAGTACTAAAATGAATTGCTACAAGACTATCTTTAAGAAGTAAATAAATGAAAACAATTATTCTGCTACATCTACAACTATATGTTTGAAATAGCCAGTGAAATCTGTCGGAAATAATGTACATAAGAAATTGAAGATTCATGTAATCACATGATAAAATGTATTTAGTGTTCATGGGTATTTGTGTCTAGGAAGTTGCACTCAATTAATATTAGTCTAGGAAATAGTCTCCACTAAGTCTATTAAGAACATATATATAAGGGAGAGATCAAATTATACCGGTGTAACTTTTACCAATTCTTACACCATTCAATAACTTTAAATTAAAAGTGACTTCTATCAATCTTCGAACCGTTGAATTATAACTTCTTATCACCTTAAATGTTTATGCCAAATTTTGTTAAAATCAAACAAAAATAGGAAGATAATCAAATTATTCATATTTTTTTTTATATTTTGAAATGTGTATATCATGTTAATATTAATGTATATGAAAGAGGTATCAAATAATTTTGGACTAAGATAAATTTTTGTATATATCATCTAGGTGAAAAGAACTTTCAATCTAATGATGAATTTTGGAAAATAATAATTCAATTGAAAGTTAGTGGACATTATAATAATTGGTAATGGTTATACCGGTGTAATTTGATCCCTCCCTATATATATCGGTGTACTCAATAAGAATAAGAAAACTTTCCATTCTCTAAAATGCTCTCTAGATTATTGTATCTATCTCTCATATCCTCTCCCTCTAAATTCAACACACATTTATGCATTTGCTAAGAACAACTAAATACAAAATCCTCTATCCTTCTTTGTAGCTGTTGATAGTGATAAATCTATATTTTGATAGTTGATACTAGTTAGGACATATTTCTAGTTAAGGAAAAATTATTTAAAAAAAAAAAAAAAAAAAAAAAAAGAAGAAGAAGAAGAAGAATCATTCAACAGCATCCAATTCATGTAAAGAACCTCCGGTAATCTGAACCCAGGTTTCCAGTTTACTACAGGGCCAGGTCATGTGAGAAACAAAAGAAAAAGTGATTTATTCATTAATCATATAGGGTCTAATTGGATAAACTTTTCTGGAAGCATTTCTAAGAAAAAAATAGCAAGGAAAATTTAAATAAGTTTTTCTATAAGTTAAAACTAGCTTATGCATAAATTAAAAATAAGATTTTGGAGAAGCTAATAGGAAAGAACTTCTATAAATTAGCTATGCATGAGGCAATTGTAACTTAAGGAGAAACTTAATTCATTTTTTCCTTCTTATTATTTTCTCCTTGAAGTGGTTTTGGGGAAATTTACCCAAACAGGTCCATAATTGCCACATATAAATATAAAATCATCTATAAGAAAATCCATTAGTGCAGTACCCAAACTCGTAGCATCCTAAACGAACAGAAATAGTTGAAAACCTGCTAAGAAAGTAACACTCACCACCATGCCGTGTTGAACGAATGGGAATTGCCTGCACTCCAGTGGTAACTGTTGACAAATTCCCTCCATCAAGATCCATTAACACAGCTTCCCAAGTTCCACGGGTGTCACTCCACAAATGAACTACCCAATTTTCACCAGCAGTTGCATTTGCCCAACACTACATTACAGGTCAAATAGTTACTCATCAATCCTTATTCTCAATTTAGTTACCTTACACAAGAGCTTGCCTTCAGTAAATGAAAAGCAACAGAATACTAGAAGTTAATCTTTTATACTATCTTCATTCCAATTTGTGGTGTTGTATGGAACTAAGCGTTGGGAAATAAAAAGGAAACAAGAGAACAAACTCAGATAAATAGATATGAGAATGTTGCATTGCATGAGTCGATATATCAAAGAAGGGGCATATTTGGTTCAACTTCTCTCGAATCAATTCTAGGAGAGAAAAATAAGAAGGAAAAATGAAATAAATTTCTCCCTAAACTAAAATCAACTTATGTATAACCTAATTTATAGAAGCTTTCTCCTATTAGCTTCTCTAAAATCTTATTTTTAAATTATGAATAAGCTAATTTTAATTTATAGAGAAACTTGTTTCAATTTTCCTTCCTATTTTTCTCTCTTAGAAATGCTTTTGGAGGTGTTTATCAAAGCAGACCCAAGATATAATTAGGAATGAATTTAAAGAGAAAATTGGGGTGGCAACTTTTACAGAAAAAATAAAAAAAAAAAAAACGGCAGAATTTTGCCTTAGGTGGTGTGGGCATATGTGGAGATAACCAGCAGAAGCCAACAGTAAGTAGAGTAGATTAAATCATTAAATAGAGGACAGCCATATCGCTAGAGGGAGATCAAGAAAAATCATCGGCAAAAAACATTTTTTAAAAAAAAAAATTGGAGGTTAATGGTTTGTCTACTAACATGATTCACAATAGAGCAAAATGACATCATTTGATTCATGTAACCAATCTTACCTAGTGGAAAAAGGTTTAGTGGTGGTAGTTGTTAATTCCAATTTTCCTAATTTAAAAGGCACTCTATCAGGGTAGACGACAGAGTAGTGTTTTTCCGCTCCCCCTTCCCCTCCCAATAAAACTAAAATAGCCGGATTAGAAACCCAAATCCGCATCACTCTATTCTCTTCTCATAAACGCTTGCAAAACACCAGGTAGAAAACTGCGATACATTTCATTCGCAAGAACAACAATAACAACAACAAGCAAAAGAGAAGTTCCATAACTGTTCAACACTAAACCACAATCATCCGAAATTAAATCCGAAAAACCCAAACTGCTGAAACTCTACATAACAACATAATCCCAAGTGATCCCCGCTCGCAATCATACGTCACCGTTTTATTGTTATTCAAGCATCAAGCTGAACCTCTCACGTCCTTACAATACAGCAAACAAATTCCTGAAATGTGAAAGATAGCATTCTAATTTCAAGCTAAACTAAACCTCCACCATTATTGTCATTATTATTACAACAATTGTGATCATCATCGACAGTATAATCAATCAATCAAAAAAAAAGCAAAGACATAGAACATCGTAGAATCACAGGCGTTAACAGCGCAGCGAAATCGAAATCTTAACCTCGAAGAAAATAGGCATTACCTGGAATAATGCGCAGATCTCGGAACAGAAGCAAGGGAAGAAGAAATAGGCGATGCGATGCAAGAGTATATATTCTTGGCTTGCAGAGAAGGAAGTGATGTGAACGCCCAACACGAGAAGAGAAGAGAAGCGAAGGAATCTTTTCCTCCACGGTTTCGTTTTGTTCTCTTCCGTCAAAATGAAAATCCCTCTCGAGTGCGATTAGAGTTTCTGTTACTGTCAAGATTCCGGGAACTATTGGTTTACCCGGATCAACCTAGCACCTACCACGTCACGTGAGTTACGTTTGTTTCATGCGCCATGGCTTATGCCAGAAAATTTTGTTAGCTAAAAACTGTTTAGTGTTTACGCATTGGGTAATGTAAAATTTTAATTTTTCATTCACAGGAAAATAGCATAAATAACTTGTATAAGATGATTTTAATCATTTTTAGTTTATTTTTATAAGTTAGGTAACTTATAAGATATTAATTTTTATGTTTTTTATTTTATCTTTATTAATTTATTTGAGTATTTTTTAAATAAACTATATTTTTATCCTCATTGAATTATTATTAAATTACAATTTAGTATCCTGATTTTAATTATACGGTCATCAATTATAAGATAAAAAAAAATTGTAAATTTTTATTCAACCATCGAATGTAATACTTTGACTATTTAAATTCCAAAAAATTGTTCAAAATAGAGAGTTGAAATTCAATGTTATTTCATGTGGTCGTGTTATTGCATGCATGTGACTAAAGTTTTACCTTAAACACTATGTATTAATGTGTTACGTGTGTATATACTTGATGGATGAATCAAAATGAAGAACAACATTATGTACTTACAAAAATAATGGGCTAGAATTGTAAATTAAAAATTAAATAAGAATAAAAATACAATTTGGCTATACATTTACCAATTAACTTATATTTTATCTTGTTTCTAATTTTTTTAGCTCCTAATTTATAATATTTAAGTTTCAAATAATTTATAAGCCAGCTTTACGTTGCACGAGTGTAATTATTAAAGTAATGACGAATTCATTAGTGCATTTTGAATAGATGATGCAGGTTGGCCAACAGAAAAAGAAAAATAAAAAAAATCATTCCATATCACAAGAGAATTACAGTTATTAAAAAGAAAACCAATCATTAATATGAAGGGGTTAACTCATACGGTGATAACAAGAAATTGAATTCGTCGGTACACAATGAAATTTGCAATTTAACTTCACAATGAAATTAGAGTTAATCACCTATACACTGCTAGTGTAAATCTTTTTTAAACCGATAATTAATTATATCTTTTAATTGTATCATATCACTATAAATATATTTATTTTTAACAGTGACATAAAACAATTAAAAGATATAATTGGTTGTTAGTCTGGCAAGAGTAACTCAAATTTATTGGTATACCTTGTGAACAAACAAGAGAAGAAAAAAAATCAAAATCCTAGTTCAAAACCTTAAAAAAAAAAAAAAAATTGGCATTCTCTCCCTTCAATAATAGAATGAAAGCTTGTATATTTTCCAAGTAATTTGGTCAAACAATTTTGATCCTGCCTAGTGCCACCTAGCTAACCACAAGCTGCAACAACAGCATAAGGCAAATGGACAAATACAATAGAGAAAGGATCAACCCTTATTGGCTCTGATGAATTCACATATAGAGGCTCCAAAGGAGGAATTTCACCAGCTGAGTTTACACTTAGAGCGTTTCCATTTAGTACCATGATTTGGCTATGTATGTCCCCACCTTGTGGAGTTAGATGGTACTCCTCTCTTGCTGTTCCACTTGCAACAGGTAGATTCATCATTTCTGAATGAATAGACATCTTTCTGTGCCTCAAACTCTTACCGTTGTAGTTGAAGGTCGCTCCAGCTTCAACAGTTGTGTTGCCGTCCAGGTTGATCAATAGTATTGCGATTCCTTTCTGTAAGATAGAGTATTAAATTAGATTTCTTAAATAGTGTGTCTTGAAATGTGGGTCAACCCTACAAAATTATGAGAATTGTGTTCATTGATATATATATTTTTGGGATTCAGATTCTCTGACTTTGTGGAGGGAAAATTATGATAACTTAATACATTTAAACCGTTAGATTTATAAAAATAAATCAGATTGTGACACTTGTATAATATATATTTTGATTGAAATGTACATGTGTCACAATTTAATCTTTTTTAACAAATCTAATAGTTTAAATACATTAAGTTACCATAATTTTTTTTCCACAAAATCAGAGGATCCATTTCTATATTTTTGTTAGTTTTATCTTTAATCTATGTGAGACATACGTTTTTAATACTTCTTTCATATTTAGTAGAGCTTGGTAGTAAATAAATGATAAATAACTTTTTTAATGATTTACGATAGATAAAATTTAATTTTTTTACAAAATACACTCTTTTATATTTAACACTATTAAACTTAATTTGTGTGTATATTCAATATAATCCTTTTAGTAGGTTTAAAATAACTCTGACACTATTAAAATGTGAATTTAGGTCTCAATTTTTATAAAATTAGTTTGTAAATTGTCTCGTACTACTATGTTAGTTTTATCTTTAGTTGACATAAAATTTAAGGCTTTCATGTGTTTTTATGTCTTTATATATGTAGTCACTAGACAAATTATAGTGATAAAATATTTTACTGACGGATTGCTTTGCGCAGTGTGCATAAGCTCGTATCTTTATTGTCCCCGAGAAGGTAGTTGAGAGTACATTTCTTCCCATGAGTCGGTGCCAAAGAAGAGCACTGCAAAGAAGAAAGCACATTACCACATAAACATCCTATACTGTGGATCTATTTGAAATGGGGTCCCCTTATTGTATTATTAGATAAGGGATCCTTTCCAAATTAATCAAAAATTTTATGAAAATAAATTAGTGAAACATGGCACATCTGGATTCATATCAGCTCAAGAAGAGTGAGATATTAATGAAGTAAATTATACACATGAGGATCCATAATTATGCTCCTCATTCTTCTACATGGAAATTGTGAATTGAAGAATGCATGTCTCCCTTGCAAATCAATCTCATGACTTGAGCGAAAGGACAATCTTAGTATAAAATTCATCTGTTAATATTTAGTACCTATAGTAGTCTGGATTTGGCTGGAGATTGGTAGTATTGAGCAAACCATAGTTTCCTCCTATCAAAGTCTGTCTGCAATATGTTTTTGTGTCATACGCAGCTGACATGCCAAGCTGATCTAAATACCTGATTGTGATACGATAACATTAGCCAAAATAATTCTAAGGTACCCCAAATGGTATCTGATTCCAAAAAGAGTCTCCACTAACCAGAAACTGTAGACAAATGTATCAGATACAAGATGATGGCCACTATTGTAAGCCCCTCCTGACTCACCAACCCATGCTGTTGCTGAGGTTCCTGTATTTCCAAGTATATCTTTGAGGCCTTTGAATATGTTTGCCACTCCATCAAGGTAGGAAGGATCCAGAATTTTTTCCACAAGGTGCTCATCAACTCCTTTATTAAGATAAAGTAGCCGTCAAATATGATCAAATTCATGGTAATTGGGAAAACATAAAAAATATTAGCCTGTTTGGTTGATGGTACCTGGTCCAAGGTTATATATGTGGTGAGTGACCACATCCATAGATTTTCTGGCTTTGCTTACAAATTCCTTGAACCAATTTGCATCATAGAATCCTCCGGGTGCAATGACTAATGGCTTATGCTCAATCTTTCCGTATGCATTGTAAACTATGTTTCGTAAATCAGCAACATCAGAAGCATATTGGTCTGCTGCTATACTTGTTCCAACTCCACCCCCACTCAATTCATTGCCTGCCAATGACAAGTGCTCAATATGGTTAGTTAGTCCCCATTACACAGGCCCTCATGCAAGAAGTATTTCGTTCAATATGCCTTGACATAGAACAAATTAGTTTTTAAATTTTTTTAGTGAATCCAGGATATTCCCCAGCCAATAGTCAAAAGATTAATCTGTCGAAATATTGAGATTTATTTAAAAAAACTGACCTCTTACATCATATGGTATTTCTAGAGAGATATTACCTATTTTGTTTCCTCTAACAAAAAGTATTGATGAACATAACATCTTTATATCAACAATAATATTTGTCAGCCTTTTGATAAAGATCGTGTTTTTCAATTGTATTAGCCCTATTGTGCAGTGACAAATAATACTTTGGTACATAGTTACCAAGTACCACGTACAGGTGCCTGATTTGTTACATTTTACATTATTTGTTACATGACTTTCTTTAAAAAAAACTTGCTATGTGGTATGTGGTACAGTGAATTCGGTACAATGTAAGGAGGGTTAATAAGAGAACTCTATAACTAAGCCTTGGAATTTGTGATAGGAGCAGCATTAACTTACCAAGTTCCCATCCATAAATGGTGTACCCCTTTCCAACAGTGTATCGAATAAAGGACTCAGCATTGGTGGAATTCCAAGGTCCTGTTGCAGAATTACCTTCTATTGATTTTCCAGCAAGAGCATTTAATCCAAAGATAATCTTAGCCCTGAAATGAACAATTAAAAACGGTTAACTCATTAAAAATATACTTTCCAAGCCAACAAGGTGAATCTAATTACATCTAAACACACTACACAGGTAGAGCTGAATTTTACCCTGCTTTTTCAAAAAAGCTGTTGAGTTCATCCCATCTATGCATTAGGAGGCACCCTTGCGTGAAACCAAACATCTCAGAATCGCTCCTAACAAAAGGAGTGCAAGGTTGGTGACTATCTTCAGTGCCATATATTACCTTGTCTTGCAAACTTCCACCTAATCTAAGTTTCAAAGGTGAAAAGGCTGCAGAACATTCAGAAGCAACGACACCACAATCAGCTCTCAAAACTCAAAACAATAATCTAATATATTGAAATGTAATGAAAGAATTTGATTTCTGCCAATTATTATTACAACATCAGAGATGTAAATTATCTCTTACCTTTCACTGCATTTAACAAAATCGGGTTGTTGAGGTCCTGAACGAGATCACAATTGAAAGATGTGTAAGGTTTTGAAGGTGGTGTAAACGGACGCTTGTGAACTTATTAGAACAATTAATTGATAAATTATCACAACATAAAGAAAAAGATTGAAGACTATAAACTCACCCAGATGCGAATTTCAACAAACCTTGGGGAAAACGGAGTCAATAATAAGTAATAACCATGGATTATTAAGAAAATATAAAATGGTATATACTATTTTCTCATCATGGTGTTCTGAGATTCTTATAACGTTGTTCACCACTACAAACAATGAGTACAAAACGACATCATTCTTTTAATAAAAAAATAAACATAGTAACTTCTTTTTCATTCCTGTAGGAGATCCCAAACATGCATTCTGGATTCAAACATCATTTCCAAAACCAAAAAAAATATCATTTAAAAGATAATGAATGACAACCGACCATAAAAACATAGCCAGAGGAAAAAGAAAACACTTTTAGTTTATTTGTTTGAACAATAAGCAACAGTCACAATTTTGAAACCACCTTTCAGAAATTCATAAGCCATTTGAAAAAAAAAAAAAAAAAAAGAAGAAGAAAGAGAGAAACAATACCAGATTGAGAAGAGAAGCAAGACCCCAACTGCATCTACCATAGTCACATTTCTCAGGAGGCCACCAATCCAAAGTTGCACACACAAAATCATCATCAATATTTCCAATAACAGATTTGTCATCAATTACAACAGTTCCTTGCACAGTTGCATCTTTTCCTACAGTCACTGCATTACCAAAAATGAAGCTGAAGCATGTCAAGTGCAACCATAAGCAAAGAGCCACAAGCTGGTTCGGAGTACACATTTCCAGACTCAGCCAAATTCAAGATTGAAGGTTTCACTGCAGAATCACTTGACTCATAGACAGTGAAAGTATAAAGGAGATTGATAAATGATAATTTAATGAAACCAATTTTCTTTGCTGCTAATGCAAAGGCTTGTCTTTACAAAGGTTTTCTGCAAAGACAATTCATGTATGTGTACATTGCATGCCCAAAGATTTGGCTCTTATTTATAACGTGGCCTCTTCAAAGTATCTGTTTAGAAAGGCCTGTGTAGAGAATATCACAAATCTTTACAAAATAAATATACGTAACAAATAGAGAAACTCGTATTAGCTGACATACTACATGTATATCATGATAATTTTCTTAAGGCTTAAATATGTTTAGTCCTATAAAATTAACAAGTTTTGATTTTTTAGTCTTTATAATTTTTTTTTGTTTTTCATTCTTATAAAATTAAAATTATTATTTTTAGTCCATGTTTTTATGTGGTCATCTTTCAACTACTTTTTATTTATTAAAAAGTTAAGTAATCATCTTAAGTATTACCTACAATCATCACTAATATCATCTCAATATTTAACATCTCTAAAAAAATTTATAGGTCTTTAAAATAAATGTTATTTATCTATCTTAAAATGACCATTAGGGACTAAAAATAATTAGTTTAGATTTTAGAAGGATGAAAATCAAAGAAAAATATTATACCGGCTTCAAAAACAAAATTTAATAATTTTATAAGGACCAAAAACAATATTTATAAATTTTAACAGAATGAAAAACAAAGAAAATTTTTTAGAAGGACTAAAATCAAAATCATCAATTTTATAGGGACTAAAAACGTATTTAATCCTTTTTCTTATTATTGAATAAATGGTCAAATAAAAATTTGTCATAAATATTATTTTTTATATAAATAATTAGGATATGAATATAGCCTAAAATAAGCTTTTTTAATAAAAATAAATAATAAATTGATAAATAATTTGAGAATTTTTATAAACAATACACATATAAGTCTAAAATAAGAACTATCATCATGACAATCATGACAATAGATAGAGTTTGGATAAGTCTACATGTAACAAATTTTAATTAATACACATACTATTACCCATTGAAATAATAAATAAGGGCTCTGTATAGGTATTTTAATATATATAATATATATATATATAATCTATTATATCTATTATCTATTATATTATATCTTTTATTTATTATTATATATTATAAAAGAAGGTTTTGTCATGTAGACAAATAGTGTATCACTATATTCATTTTTTCTGTTTAATTTTTTTTTCCAATTCTTAATTCATAAAAATATATTATGATATTTAATTATAGTTATTTTAATAATTAAAATTATTATAATGAGTATGTATTTTTATTTGAATTTACTAAGATGCTTACAACTAATATATTGAAATTCTTTTTACTTTTATTTTATTGGTAATTCTTTTTATTCATAAAAACACTTTATATTTAATTATAGTAATTAATATTGAAAACAAAACATAAAATAGAGGTGTAATAGCGGCAAAAGTTTCAGGAAATTCTATGTCTTCTTGTTGATTGTAATCTTGGATTACTAATCTAGTTTTGTTTCTTACCACTTTACTTTTCTCGTTCAATTTGTTTTTGAAGACCCATCGAGTTCTTATGACACTTTATTGGTCTAGCTTCGGCATGAGGATCCAGACATTGTTCCTCTCAAACTGATGAAGTTCTTCCTCCATGGCAATAATCCAGTCATTGTTTGTTAGGGCTTCATTTATGCATATCGATTTGATCCTGAAAACCGATGCACAAGAGGCGAGGTCTCGAAAAGTAGAAAGAGTTTTTACTCCTTTAGCCTTATCACCCAAGATTTGATCCTTTGGATGATGACGAGCAAATTTCCAATTCCTCTAAGGTCTTAGAGTTTCATCTAGCTGATTCATCTTGCTTTCTAGAGGTTTCAATGTTTCAATCACAACGTTTGTATCTGTCGTCTAATGATCTTCAATTTGCAAATTTGCAAAATCATCCTCTAGATTTGATAGTTTCCTATTAGTCTTTTATACATCATTGAACTTCACATGGATTGACTCTTCCACTACAGAGGTTCTAAAGTTAAATACCCTATATGTCTTTGAAGTTTCAGAGTATCCAAGGAAGATCCTTTTGTCCACTTTGGAGTCAAACTTTCTTAGTTGATCCTTATTGTTCAAAATAAATCACTCACGTCCAAATGGATGAAAATATGATATGTTAGGTTTCTATGCTCTCCACAATTCATAAGGGGTGCAATTTAACATGTCTCTTATTAATATTTTGTTTTGAATGTAAGACATAGTGTTCACGGCCTTTGCCCATAAAATGTTTTGGCAAATTGTTTTCACAAAAGAGAGTTTTAGCCATCTCTTGCAAGGTTTTATTATTCCTTTCAACTATCCCATTTTGTTGAGGAGTTATCAATGAAGAGAAGTTTGGAAGATACCTTATTTTTCACAAAAAGTTTTAAAGTCAGAATTTTGAAATTTCATCCCATGGTCACTTTTGATAACAGATATGCAAGAACTTTTTTTCATTTTGAACATGCCTGCAGAATACTTCAAAGATCCTAAACAACTCGTGTTTGTGGCCTAAGAAGAATACTTATGTATATCTAGAATAGTCATCTACAATGAAAAATCCATACTTTTTGCCTCCTAGACTCAGTGTCTTAGTTAGACGAAAAAAATCCATATTCAACAGTTCTAGTGGTCTAGAAGTGGAAACAACCTTTTAGATCTAAAAGAAGATTTAATTTGTTTCCCTTTCTGACATGCATCATAAAAAAGATGGTTTTCTAAGATATCATAGGCAGTCCCCTTACTAAGCATTTCTTACTTAGCTTCGAAATATGTTTCATATGAATATGTCCAAGTTTTTTAATGCCAAATCCATCTTTCATCTTCTTTAGACACTAGACATGTAACATTTTGTTTGCTCAAACTAGTCAGATCAATCTTATAAAGATTATTTGATGAGGTTCTACTTGAAGAATCCTCAAGGAATGCTTCAATTCTTCTCAGATCCTTGGAAGAGGTGCAAGGAATAGGAGCTTCCAAGAAGAACAAGGTAGCCAAGTCTTGACCTAGCTAAGTCCGGATAGAAGTAAGGTAACCTAACTCTACAAAGAGAGGAGCTCAAGTAGGGTAGAGTGAGGTTATAGGAGACTTTCGGAGGGAGAGAGTTCAAGTGAAGAAATCTCATTCAAATTATGTCCAAAAGTGTTACAAAACTCGGCCAAAGGAAGATTTATAGGTAAAATTAGGTTAAGGGTTTAAGTTGGGTTCACCTAGAGTTAAGTAAAACCATGGTATGGTTTACTTAACTCTAGGCGCCAAAATTTGAATTCAAAAATTCAAATTTTGGTGCCAACCGGTCACCTTCTCCATGTGCACTCATTTGGATGTGATTTAGTATCCATTTGAGTTGCATTTCGGTCACACCATGTGCATGTGTGCACATGGCCGAAATACACTTCAAATGACATACTAATTACATGCAAATGAAGATGTACATGTTAAACTAAATTAACCCTAAATCCAAATGACCATGAAATGAACTCCTAGTCAAATGGCTGAAATACAAGGCCTAAAATACAATACAAGCCCAAAGGCCTAAACCTACACTACTCGTACTCTACTTGGGCTTGAATCAAAGCCCAACTAAAAAGTGTGATGGGCTTTCCTTGAGCTTGGGCCCACTCCTCTTGAATCTTCTTTGCCATAGCCCTAGTAGTTGGGCCCTTGGCCCATGGGCCTCCTCCATCATCCCCTCCCTCTTGAAGAGGATTTTTCCTCATATCCAAAGCATCCTCCCCTTGGGTAGCAAGTCCTGTAAAGAGAGATAAGTCAAAAACATTAAAACTAGGACTAACACCATATTCAGAAGGGAGATCTAGGACATAGGCATTATTGTTTATTTTTCTAAGGACTTGAAAGGGTCCATCTCCTCTAGGACTAAGTTTGGACTTTCTTTTGGAAGGAAACCTATCCTTCCTAAGGTGTAGCCAAACCCTGTCTCCTTCCTTGAAGACAACTTCCTTTCTACCTTTGTTATTGTATTCTGCATATTTTTCTGTTTGGGATTGAATATGATTCCTAACCCTCTCATGTAAGTTTTTGACAAATTCAGCCCTAGATGTGCCTTCTTTATGGATAAAGGAAGCAACATCAGGAAGGGGTAATAAATCCAAAGGAGTTAGAGGATTGAAACCATAAACAATCTCAAAAGGAGACATGTTGGTGGTTTTATGGACCACCCTATTGTAGGCAACCACATGAGGGAGATATTCATCCCATGACTTTTTATTGCCTTTGAGGATTGCCCTCAACATAGTCCCAAGAGACCTATTAACTACCTCAGTTTGCCCATCTGTTTGGGGGTGGCATGTGGTAGAAAATAGAAGTTTAGTACCTAGCCTTGTCCATAAAGTTTTCCAAAAATGGCTAAGGAACTTAACATCTCTATCTGAGACTATAGTTTTAGGTAACCCATGAAATCTCACTATTTCTTGAAATAATAACTTAGCCACACTACTTGCATTTTTTATATTATTTAATTATTTATATGAACACTATGTTATAAAGCATGGTTTGTAATTATTATTTTGACTAGTGATATAAAGGTATTTTTATGGAATGTATTTTATTTAGAAATATGCTTAAGTTATTTATTAAAAATGAGGAAATATGTTTAAGTATATTAATTATTTTATGAGATGGGAAATAAGGACGTTACGATCATTTATTAATTAGTATTATTATTATTATTTTATTAATTTGAGAAAATAGGAGTTATTAGGAGTTAACATTAGTGCAAAAATCTAATTTAAAATCGGAGTTTTAAGATCGGTTACAAGGTAACCAATCTTAAAGTGACATGGTGACAATTTTGTAAATAATATGAACACTTTTAAGATTGGTTCAAATTTAACCGATCTTAAAAGTACTTTTAAGATCGGTTATTTTATGACTGATTTTAAAAG